ATTAGTCGACTAATCGAATAAATAATCTGTGATTAATCAATTATAAAAATAATTGTTTGTGGCAGCCCTACATGCAACTGCCAAATAAGGTCCACAATTTCAACATCTTCATTGGCTTCTGGCTCTGGGTCAGACTCTGGTTCCAACATGTAAGGCTGGATGGACAAGTCTTCCCTTGTTGACATCTTTTAATTAATTTGTAAACAAAATGTTCTTCTGCTGCTATATAGTCGTAAACCCCCTCTATCAAACTAGAATGGACACTGTAAACTGGAGAGGGCCGGGGTGTGAAGCCTCTCGTTTGGAGTTAAAGAGACAGCATCAAAATGAGTTTATCTGAGACACAGCTCAGAAAAGGGGTGAAAGTGGGGCTTGTGGAGCTACAATAAGAAGGAACTCAGACCAAATCATTGCAGTTCCACTTTATTTATAGACTCCAACTGAATGATTTTAAATGTGAAAATGTGAATTTAAAAGCACATGTCTCCTTAAAGTTAACAGCACAATACTTACGGACAAAAATTAGATTTGAAAAGCTGAAAATATGATGAATTTCCTGATATTTACTAAATTTTATTTTGGTTATGATACAAAATGTGTCAACACTGTAAATGTATACACATGCAGTTTTTGGCCACATTGTCCTGATCAGAATAATAGTTTGTCTTTATGTAGATAAAACTCTCAGTTGAAGGTGGTCAACTTGTGTACATCCTGATTGAACTAAAAACACTTTTTTTTTCTAATTGTTTAGGTTTTGGAAGATGTGATGCGTTGTCACATCGATCAGCAGGATCCTCCTTCATGGACTGGAATCGTCTCAGGAGTGTTTAAGGAAATTTGGGCCAGACAACTAACATAAGCTTGCTTTGTTTAGTTTTTTTTTTTTAACAAAAACTTGTACCATTTTGTAAAATCTCCTGCAGACTTTTTGTCTAGTGCAACATTCACATCTTAACCTTTTTGCTTAGAACTAACCTGTAAGAACACGTGTGCCTTGTGAAATGTTCATTTTTTCATAACTAAATAAATGTTTCCACATTTTATACTTGCCGCTACACGTTATCATCTTTATGAATCTGTTTTAGGTTCATGTGGGTGGGGGGTTTCTCTCCTTTGAAAACTTTGAGCCATTATGAAGTCAACATATGCCAGTCCACAAATATGCTTGACGTATATTAAAAACTTTATCAAGATTTAAGTGAAATCAAAGCTGGAACTTCCGCCTGGAGGCCTCCATTTCATGACGCTGGAAAAACAAGAAAAGAAAATTGTTACAACAAGTAAAGGACACTGAAAACTAATGTTCTTTACTTTGACATTTTATTTTGAAAGGTTCTCTTATATAATCCGCACGATTGTTCCTTTCGTTCTACAAAGAGCTATATGAAGATAAAGGCTGTGTCCAAAACGACAGGCCGGGTCCTCCGGAGGACCCAGACTACCCGACCGAGGTGGGCCGGGTCCTTGGTAGACAGGGAAGACCGGAAAAAAAGAGGCTGAATTTGGACGGTCTAGCCTCCCGTCCTTGCGTCATGTCACCTAGCAACTGTAACAACGCTAAACAAGCAAACTTAAATCAAAACTAGAAAAATATCAATATATTAGCATTATTAATATCACAAAACTATAAAATTAACTTAAAGGTAACATTTGAAGAACTAATTGACCCGCTGTAGGTKCATGTTTATTTCGCGTTTTTTATGACAAAAATATTTAAAAACATGTCTATACAAATGATAAGTGTTAGAATTACAACCGCTAAAAAAGTTTAATTTTTATATCGCCATATTTTTATTTAAAACGTATTCTTTTCTCTCGCTTCGTCCGCAATTACTAGCATAAAAAAATCTCCGGTCGGGCCGCAATGCATTATGGGATATGCTGGGCCGGGAAGGATCCATCGGACCTGTCCTTCGATTCGGGCCAAAGGAAGGACGTATTTGTCGGCTGCATCGGAGGAGTCTTTGGTTTTGGACGGCCTTCGTCGCAGCGCTGTGACGTTTGTGGCCGACCAATTCGGCCTTCGGAGGACCCGTCCTGCCGTTTCGAACACAGTCAAAGTGATTTTTACCACAAATTCTCACCTTCAGCACCCATTCATACTCTCCATACTTTGAGTCGAAGGTGCCTTTCTGAAGAGATCGGAGTTTGAGTGTGAAGCGGGGTCCCAGCTCCTGAATCCCAACTTTCTTCTCATTCTTGAAGATGTACCTTTTCAAAACAGACACATTTTATTTAACCTTAAAACACAGCAAAATACTTTTTTTTTACATTCCTTGCCCATGTGTCCAAATCTAGTCTTCTGAACACAAAGATAACCTCTAAAATGTGAAGTCAAACAAATTTTGTGATCAAAGAAAAAGTGTACTGCTTTCAAGTGTTTCGACGTTTTTTTTGTCCTCGATTACACTTTAAAAAAAATCTTTAAAAAAATTGTAGGCGAGTTGTGTTTTAAATTTGTAAAATTTCCAAATACTGGTTTATGTACACAATTTGTATTATTTTTTTAATAGGTCAGTTAAAACGTTTACCTGTGGAATCTGAAAAAGATGAAGTCTCTTTGGTTGTGAAAGGTGGCGACCTGTCGACCCACAAACTGGGGATTCTGTGGAAAGAGAGCGGCGAACAGACGGCCGATGGTGTGTCCCAGACGGGTCGAGAAATTATTGAGGATCACCTCTGGATRGTGTTCGGTCGGTTCTTTACCTATTCTCTGTACAGATGAAACAGTGAGGCTGTCATCATGCCAACAATGGAAAACGTTTGATTGGTGGTAGGACATAAGCTTCAGTTTCTATGTAAATAAATTTGCAACACTATAATTTCTCTACTTTCCAGACAAACACTGCAATTGACATTTTCTGTCTGCTCTAACTTTTACAGCAAAGATCAGGCCTCGCTTATCAGTGAAGATGGAGGTATAAGACTAGTCAGCAGATTAACACAAAATAGACCAATAATAAAACTATAGAGTGGAGAAGTGCGAATAATGGACACTCCCATGAAAATGTTGGAATATGCCCACATACTGCTGCTGAACTAGAGGAACTGAACTTGCCTTCATCTCTTTGCGCAGTCGAACACTGCTGACTTTGAAGTGTGCAGTTGGCCCATCAGGGAGGTGACAGAGAACCAACCCATCTTAAGTGGCAGTTAAGGATGATGACATTTAGAAAAACATTTTTTATGTTGATACATAGTTTGGCCAATGTAACTACCGCCCTTCAAAAAAGGTAGAGAAAAAAAAAAAAGCCTAATTTTTTCCCCTGTGTTGACTGGTTGTGAGGATACTGGGCGTTAGACGATCTTCATTGATAACCATCAGGTAGGTAAAGTTCCTGGCGACACACTGAGGAATGATCTTCTTCAGGGCCAAACCTCTTCTGTAGTAAACATGAGCATTTGGGATAACTGTGGCCAGCTGCCTACAGAACCTCACGGTCCTCTGCAAAGGCACAAATCACATCATAAAACATTAAAGCCAGTTTCTGACACTGATTAATATGTTTTTTTTTTCATCAAACAGCAGCAACTCACCCCTCTAGGTCGGTCTGACGTGGTGATGAGCACTTTGGGATTCGTCAGTCCGTTGAAATAGGCAGAAAATTCATCAGTTGCTTCATCAAATGCAACCTGGACACATGCAACAAGTTATTAAAAGTTCCCGTGAAGGATGTGGCAYAGATATGAGCGAGAGCCGCTGAAACAGTCCGCACCTCTTCATCTTCTGGATCGACTGTGGTCTCGTCAAACACTCTCTGGTTTTCTATCGTTTTAGGAACCTCCTTTGGTGGCGCCTGTAAGTTTGGGACAGAACAAGTGAAAACAAAACCTGAAGCAATAAAACAAATGACTGACAGCAGAAAATACTCACCTTGTCACCTAAAGCTTCTCTTTCCTTCCTTCTCTTTTTCCTGATTTGCAGCTTTTGCTACAGAAAACAAGAATAAATGGCATTACAAACACTGAATAGGTTGATTAGAAAGATAATAACWGGGATCTTTAATATGTTAACTATTGCTTTTTATTGTTAAGTACAGACATGAGCTATATGTTACTCTAAAACGAAAAAAGAAATGTGTCAAGAGTTATTTTAGGTTTGCTCAGTTTTAGCAAACTGTACGTGGTGCACTTTACTGAAGGCCAGCTTAAGACACAATRCATTCTGTTTACCTGTCTTTTCTCCTGCTTGAGCTTCATAAACATGACATGTCTTCTCTGTTTGTTCTTGACTTCAGCAATACTGAATGCCGGCGGAAACGTCGCCATCGCTGCCTCGGTCTTCTTCTCCACTCGGCTGCTTCCTTCGTCTCCCTCCTCTTTTACATCCTTCGTTTTTACTGTCTTCTTGTTCTTTTTTCCTTTCCCTTTGCTTCCTCCACTCACGGGAACTTCTGTGATATCCATTTTTTTTTAACAAGCCGCGTATCTTMGATTATTTTCTCACGTGTGGAACAGGTTATCGCGTCATACGGGTTCACTTCCGGGGACGAGAGGTGAAATAGCGTCGGTGGTGGTTCAGCGCACCCCCTAGTGGTGAGGAGGCAGACAGCATCTCACTGCTGTTATCACAAATCCACGTTGTTTCTGTTTTGCAAAGACTGACTTTCAGAATGAATATATTAAATATGAAAGCTCAAACATTTTTAAAAACTGGACTGTCAAGTAAAGCTGTGAGAAACTTTCTTTTTAATTTTTTTTCCTGCCTTCTTTTCAGCTATTCATAATGTGCTGGACTCAGATGGAATATTGTGACCGGCGCATGGACTTCATTTAGGTAGGACCAAATCCATTTTTTTAAATGAAATGTGCACCAAGTGAGCTACAGTTTGTGTTAAGAAGAATGCTGAAATATGAGACATAACTCCCTGACTTCTGCCAATAAAATCTCAAACGATTTACTCAGTAGGGTTCATATATTTAATTGATTTAGAAAGGCAATCTCACTGAGAAAGGTATAGTCTCATTAACAAGGGAGACTGTAACACAAACACATATCAGTTACCGGTAAACAAAATCATAAAACATTTTGTCGGGATTTAAATTAAAATAGAGGTAAACAAATCTAATAAAAAACAAGAACAAGCTTGAAATGACAATTTTTCCATTTTCTTTAAAACATGTTTAAAATCTCACAGTGGGATCTGGCCGGGACATTCACATCACCATAGAGGAAGGTTGCAGACACAAGATGCTTGTGAGCCACAAGAGGGAAACCTAAAATATTTCTAATAAAAGAAAATCTTAGTTTTGGCTTCAGCTGATTTTTTTTTTTTCTGATGGAGTCGGTGACTCACCAGCCATGAACTTCACCGCACTTAAATCAGAGATTTACTGGTCAGTCAACCCTGCACCCTCTAATTTTTTTCTCTTTTAAGCTATTTCCAAGCAGAATGCTTATTTAATTGTAGTGGAAGAGAAAAAACTGCAACTACAGGCAACTGCTTTGCTATTTATGACTAATCTGTAAAAAAAAAAATAGTGGCAAAGAAAGTTTTCATGTGATTAGGGTAAGTGAGTAAAATTTCTTTAGCACCTTTCACAGACACCAACATCACAAAGTGCTTCACAGAAAAACACATTAACAACAGAAAACAAGAAACATTAAAATCAATTAAGAACAGAGAACAAAATGGTTAAATTAAAAACAAAACACACACAARAAAGAAAAGAAAACAGATTAGCTAAAGGTCTGTCTGAATAAAAACACATTTGGAAAAAAATATCAGTTGAGTTGCCCAAGTTATATGTTGTGGAAATCTTTATTTTACCCAGGCAGAAACACGAGATCCAAGAATAAAAAGTACTTCRTGAAAATGGTCAACAGGTTTTATTGCAATATGCAAGACACACATCATGTCACACAGGCAGTGGTACAGAACGTGTGCACCGAGGCAGTTTCAGATACATGCATTTATACAGATTATTATCAAGACAGACAATAAACATCTCTCTTGGTGCTAAAACTGAGCCAAGGAGAGAATGATGTTTGAYAAAACAGCAACAAGAATGATTACTTCTAACAGATTGATCTTAAAACACTCTGTCCGAGAGAAAACAACAGATAAAGGGTAAAATCACAAAACATGATGACCTTTTAAAACAAGCAAAAGAGCTCACTGACTCTTGGCCTGAGAAGAAATGTAAGACTTTAAAAGGATAATTTATTTTTCCAGGACATAAATATAAAACTAACCAAAAGGAAAGTGCAATTTATTCAGAAATCAAATGGTCTGAGGACGATTATTTAGTCTCGCTATTTGACAAAATAGATTTTAGGAGATCAGCATGATGTCTCTTTTTACACAAGGACCCAATAACTAGTGTTGTCCAGTCACAGCTAAAAGG